TCTTTCTTTCTTTTTTTTTTCTTTGTTATTGAAGACAAGAAGGAACCATATTAAGCTGACTAACATGCTAATGCTTTTAGGGGGGTGTGGTGCATTGTGTTGTGGTGCTTCATTCTTTATGTCCTTTCTGTTGTGTGGTGTGTTTCTTTTTGCTGAGGTATCTATTTTCATTGTTTAATTAAATAAATGTATGTAATGGGCACTGGCAATAAAGGGGAGTTTTAACAATTTGAGCTCTCTCCAGGTGGGATCCACTCCCCGGGTTTCGAGACAGGTGACACTCTGAGCTGTCAGTCTCTGATGAACGCAGACGGTCTCTACCTGGTGTCGTACTATGCTCTGCTGCTCAACCTCAAACTTTGCTGCTGCGACTACTACAGACGGAGAACCCTCGCACCCGTCCTCAGCCTGGTGAGCAGAGCGCTGTTTCCCCCACAGTTTGCTAAACACACACACACACACCTACACAAACACACTAAACTATACAGGGTTTATAATGGAGTATTGGCAGTAGAAGTGAAAAGAAAGTGTACTCGACAAGATGAAAAGAAATGACATGGAATAGTAGATTGGAAGTCTGACCAGCCTTCTTCTGGAGTGGAGCAAAATCAGAAAAAATATTAGAAATAAAAAGGAAGTATAGAATAAGATGTGATGTATTTGACTAGATGGAATAGATTTTGATGTGTGGTGTGTGTTTTTTGCAGAAGGAGTTTGTGCGTCTGATCCAGAGCAGTGGAGTCCTTGTCGTTCTGTCTCAGGCCTGGATCGAGGAGCTCTACCACCAGGTGTTAGAGCGCAACCTGCTGGCTGAGGCTGGGTACTGGGGCTCACCGGAAGATCACATACTGCCGCTCATCACCATGCTGACAGGTACACACACACAATCATCAAATATAGCCCTTTCCGTGTGGGGTAAATTTACTCATATCACTAACTGACGAACTGATTTGAGTCAAGTTCTTGAAAACTAAAAGTCCTCAAAGAAAAGCTCTCGGAATAATTTCTACTTAAGTCTCTGTCACTTTTACCTTGAATAGCATTAAAGAATGACAAAAAATATTTGAAAATCTTTCGAATCCTGTGTTTTTTTTTTAAAGCTACACTAAATTACCAGTATTTACAAAGAACTAATATAATCAGATTTCAGTGTTGGTCAGCAAACTCCGGAAATGGCAGATTCCCAGCTGATTGAGATCACAAACATCCTCTGTAATGATCACAACAATTGACGACTTCTTCTTATCGTCTCATTCTTTCCCCTCTGTCCTCCCCTCCCCTCTCCGCCCCCCCTTCTCCTCTCTCAGATATAGACGGTCTGGGCAGCAGTGCGATTGGAGGTCAGCTGATCAGGAGGGCATCCAGCCGATCACCACTCAGCTGTGACAAGGCCGGCAGTGACACTGTGATGGCAGGTTAGTCCCTCATTACTATAAAACTGCCCCAAAGCCTCAGAAATATGATGGATTAATTGATGGATTGGTTCACCCATTTATTCAATTAATTATTTGTTAGTTCCACATCACTATAATAAAATCTGTGACATTTTGTGCCATAGTGTGTAGATTTGTTTCTTCTTTAGCCATGAAAAGACTGATACTGAGAAGGGAACGGATATTTAATTCTCTTCAGTCAGCGGTGGTGTTTTATTGCAGGTCAAACCCTCAAAGATTTTTCATGTTTGGAGTTTTTTTGGTTTTTCCTCCGAGCCTCTAAATCACCCTAGCTCAACCCTTCAGCGTTCACTCACCTTGAAACTGCTGCTGAACTGCTGCTGTGTTAATAAGTTGAAAATGCTCCACGGGCCGTGGGCAGAAAGGTGAATCATCTTGGAAAAGTGCTGCATGGTCAAGGGCTCCAACCTTTTTTTTTGTAGTGCCTTGAGGACACAGCACTGCCAATAAATAGATGAATATTATTCATATTAATCAGACTTCAGTCTGATTTGCTGATTCATTGGGTGATTTGAAGCTTGTTCAATAGAATGAACAATTAATTCAGCAAACAAGTCATGTTTTTGTTAAAGGTCGAGTGAGTCACATTTAGGAAGATCTATTGGCAGAAATGGAATATAATATTTATAGGTATATGTATAGGTTTTCATTAATGTATAATAACCTGAAAATATGAATTGCTTTGTTACTTTAGAATGCTGTTTTGGCTACTTTACGTAATTTATGTTTTTTTTCTAAACCTAAGAAAGTTTTTTTTTTTTTTGCCTAAATCTAACCAAACTGCGACCGATTCTTGAGAGTCCAGAAATTACACGAGAGGGGTACCTACAGCGTGATATTTTGAAGTGGAGGGCTACTGACCAAGCAGCAGCATTTGATGA